CTATATTCTTCTTCTTTTTCCATACCTGCACTCCACTATCACCCTCTTCCTTAAATAGCTCCTGTTCAGTGACTCTCCCACTTCCTTAGCTCTGCACAACTCAAGCTGAATACACGCAAGGCAACTCACAATTACTTATAATTCAATCTCCAGGGGACCTGAAATCGTCTTCTCCATGACCATCACATATCCATGGTGCAGGTGCATTAATACAAACAAAACACTGGCATACATAAAATGCAAACCGGAAAATCTTTAATAACATCATTGGATAGGTGCTGTGAAAGGTAGAATCGGTTTTCTTTTATGGTATTACCTCTGGTATCTCAACCATGCTCTAGGACAGCCCACAGTCAGGAGTATTTCAACACAATCAGGAACAGATGTGTGTGAAGAGGAAGAGAGAGAGAGAGAGAGAGAGAGAGAGAGAGAGAGAGAGAGGAAAAAGTTTACTGGGTATGGATATGGGGCAGTATCTAACAGAACTGGAGGATGAGGGAATCTGATCAAAATATACTGAATGAGATTCTTAAATAAATAAAAATATTTCTCTTAAAAATATTAAATTCGATTTCAATGGGAAGTAACTGCACTGTAAAAGAAAATTTACAATACAGGAGAACTGATTCTTTCAAATTCCAGGCTTGGGAAACATTGCTTATGGCCAATTTCAGACCTGCAGACACTCTTGCAATAGCATCCAAGAAAAATTCATGGGAGGACTCAACTAACAGATAAAGCAAATGTCCACCTTGAAATCACAAGACATCCACTAGTAATTTATTGTCTTTCCTAAATCATATGGTAAAGACGGTTCAGCCACTCAGAACTCAATGCTAATTTTAACCCTTATATCTAAGATGTTTTCTTCTCCCACATACCATTGCAGTAAAAGCCTCATATTTTGAATGAAGATTATATAGTGCACGCTGACTTCTTTCTTTTCAATGCAAACCACTTTTCAGTCCATCAATATACCTCCTGTCTCTCTCGTTTTGATTCTTGTCTAAAATGATCTGAGGAAAATAAGCTACAATGCAGTTAGTCTGCAGGGAGCAGGGAGCTGGTATGTGTGTTTTTATTGCATTGTGTTTGAACAAGAGCTTCTGCTTAGCACTTGATCACTTAAGACACTGTCTTAATGGATGGAGACGCGGCTCCAATGCCATCAGTCACTAAGCAAAACATAAGAGGGTTACAGAGTCCTGGGACAGGTCATATACACAGCCTCCCAGAACCATTTAAACAGTTGAAAGTAAATTACCCCGAAAGAAACTACGAGACCAGAGAGATAGCAGAGTATCATTCCTACGAGCAAAGACTGCAGATTAGCTGCTTCCATGTATGTTGTGCCATTCAGTAGCTTGTGGTTTTTTGTCAGTGTTTTTATCTCAATATAAAGGATAGCAGTAATCACCAGCTTACATTATTAAAATGGTTGCATGATGCCACACATATTAAAGGGCCCACAGAAATGACTGTCACATCGTTTGACTAACTATTTTATTGAACTACATCTAAATAGTACTCTATGTGAAATGGAGAAGGAAGGACATGAGCAGTAACTGAAGGGACTACCTTGGAAGTTAAATGTAATTCAGCATGCCTCACAGTCATCTTCCACACAATGATTTGATCACAGTAATTCATTATGAGAAGAGAGAACCCATATGTTTCTATAGGGTCTAACTCAAAAAAAAATTCCTGTATTTTAGCTGAGGCAACATGAATGAATCATTTTCAGAATAAGCATGAAATTTTAAATATTTAATCAGACATTTCTTAAAAACAAGAAAAAGGAGATTCTAATGGGCTGAAGTAAAGGCAAAAGGAATTTTAAATGCCCTATTCACAGACCAGAGCAATGGTCTTCTCATCGTCCATGCTGCTCACGCGGTTCCTGCAAATCCGTGCCAGTCACATGCAGGTCTACGTCAGAGCTCAGTGCATGGCACTCAGTAAACCCAAAGTCGGCTAGAACACCCACCTTCTCCTGAGACAACAATGATGACCTGTCCAGTACTTTACGATGGTGTCGTGGGCAGTAGGAAAGAAGTTGCCTACTCAAGAACTGAGACGTGTGTATGGTGGCATAGGACAGACGGATGTGAAAAGGACGACAGGAAAAGACAAACTTCCTCTGTAACAGAAGGCATAGGGTTGGCTCAGGGTTGTTGCTAACTACAAGATCTGGAAAAGGTCAAGCAAGACAGAATCCTTCCCGTATGACTGATATCATGACACAGATGGTTCATCTGCAAAGATTAGAAAGACAAAGAAAAAAACCACACTGTCACCGAGTTCACTTGACTTCATGCTCCAATCTGCAAAAATGTAGTTTGAAACCTTCCGAGATTACAGTTTCCCACGAGGTATCTGTTGTTTTAGAATCTACATAACTGGAAAATGAACAGACTCCTCTTCCACCATATACAACAACTTCTATTCTGGGTAAACCAAAGCCATAGGAATCGAATATCCACAAAGCAACCAGTCCTTTTATCACGTCTCTGTTCTAATGGCCCCTGCCTACAAAAGGGACAATCACTTTCTCCAGTCATTTGTACTTCAAGTTTCAAGAAAACTCCACTTCCTTGAGGCTAAATAATAATGCATTTCCACCACTTGTCATACAGTAACCCCCATTGTTAGCCCTTTCCACTCTTGATTCTGAAAATACCTGCCACACTTATTCACACTTTTTTTTTTAGTTTCACTTTTGCCATTTCAAAAGATGCTTTTGCTACAAGACCTGGCCATTTCATCTAGCAGCACTGGTGGCCCACTGATAATAATACAAAATAAATAATCATGAATGAGCAGCAATGATGGCTTCTTGGTGAAGAAGATACCGTGGCACTAAGGTAAATAACTTGGAGCTTATTTACTAAGGCAAATAGCCTGTACTAGAAAAGACCACTCCTGTCCACCATGTAGAACAGGGATGAAGACTGAACACACTCATAGAAAAAAGGACCAGCAATGTGAAGAGAGGCAGACAAGTAGATTCAACTAGACAAACGTGCTTTCGCTGTCAAAAATAATGCTGGCCTTGGCATATCTAGTGATTTCCGTACAAAAGTCCCTTCAATTCAGTTTCTACTCAGAGCTCAGAATAAGAAAAGTACTTTGAATTAAAAACCTACTTTTTTTGCTAGATAATAATTTAAACTAAGCATTGTGTGATGGTGTTTTTATTTCATCTCTGTGTGCGTGTGTATGTGTGTGTGTCCTGGGTACAGAACTAAAGGTTTGACCTACTCAAGCATACATTCTGCTACTACAGTTTACCCTCAGCCCCTGAAGTTGTTTTAATAAAATTATCTACATTTGCTATCTGCTGGGTAACTAACTGACATTTGCAAAGTGTTATTCAAATCAATCTATTTTCTTAAGAGTACATAACTGAATAAAGTAAGTTTAACAATGTTGGATTATGGTCCTCTATAATAAACTTCAGAAAGCCAACATTTTAAGGCATAGTGTTACATGTTACTCCAAATATTGTTTCTGAAAGATTCACTTTATGGAATGTTTATGTATAATACAAATGTATCGCATTTTAATTCCCCCAAACTTCAATTTACCTCTTGAAATAAATTTACTATAAAATCTATATCCATAAATTATGTTCAGACCAATTAATAAAGGGTTCTGTTAATATTTTAAAGTAGAACATCAAATGATTAAACCACATTTTTTGCCATTCTATAGATGCAAATAATTGTTTTTATCCACATTTCATCAAGGCTGAATCATTGAACACTGAAATGTCAGAAAATTCTGTTTCTTTTGTACAATTTTTTTATAAATAAGCTTCTGAATGGAGAACAGGAAACCAGCAAGGTCTTAGTAGTCACTGACCAAGAATAGTGTGGGAGAGCGTAAGAAGCTCTGAAATTTTTGTAATTTAGGTTTTTTTTTTATTTTTTTAAGATGTCTAAAATTGTCAGAGCAATGTGTTCTGAACCTGGCTCACAGCTATCTCCATTACCACCACATCCTAGCTCATTCTAACACAGACCTTCTTTTCCTCTTAAAACCACACCTGCAAGGTCATTTGTGGGGTTTTCTGCCTGAGTCAGAGAGCAGTTACTTAACTTTCGTTCCTGCTTAATCAAGAGTCTCTCTGTGTAAACAGGTGTTTGGGTGTGGTTTGTAAGTAATTCGGGATCCAGAAGGAAGCCCTCATATGTGGAGGATTGCCTTCATTTGAAGACTTCTGAAACAAACAACTTTTATCAGCACATTTGATATGGCTCTTAGTAGATTTCCAAATGTATCAATTTCAATTTCCAATTGATTGATGTTAAATGACACATTGATGTTTACTTTTTACCACAATTATTCTGTAATAGTTTAGTTAATGTCCTTTATTTGTGAGAATTCGTACGGTGTGTATCTGTCTATATAATGTCTGCAGGCACAAGTACAAGGCATATGTAGAAGCCAGTGACTATCACTTGAAGTCATTTCTCTCTTTCCATCTTTATGTGGATTTCAGAGCTCAAACTCAGATCACCTTGTACTTGTACAGCAAGTACCTTTACCTGCTAAGCCATCACACTGGCCCTGTGGCATTTTTATGCACATAACCTGAAGACAGTTATTTTGTGAGTGGAGGCCACCACTCACAATGTGTAGCAAAGGTTTCCTCTTTGATAAAAGGTAAGACTTACACACTGCAAAGGTCAAAGTATTTTTTTCTCCTTTTTCCAAAGGTCAGGCCTTGTTATATTTATATTGCTTCTTTAGAGCTGTGATTAAACATTGTTATTTTAGTGTCTTAGCTGTTAATCAACATCTGGGTGAAATGTCAAAGCCACTTTCCACCTTCCTGGAGTGTTTTCCTCACTCTCAGCAGCTGGGGTAAGAGTCCGTGGAGAAAACAACTCTTGTCCCACTACCACGTCAGCACCAGAGGAAGGAGCATGGGGTGAGCTGAGGGCAGAACGCTTCTGTTCTTAAAGCCCTCTTGACACAGTCTGAGCTGAACACACCCCATCTCACAGAATCCCTTACAAATCGGCACAGAAGCAGTTCCTCCAAAGAATTAAGGTAATGCAAGAAAATATTTAATACTTCAGAAAAGACTGGTGATATTTAAGGCTCAGACTTTATGATTCAAGAACAAAAAATCATATTGTTTTTTTTTCATTGCCAGAAAACAGTTTTAGATGTAAGGGCAAGCTGCTCCCTTGAACACAACAGGACAAGAACAGGCTGCGGTGAGGGGTGGTTCTCGATGGAGGGCCTCTAACTCACCAGAGACCACAGAAGGTCAGCTGTCTTCATTGCTACTCTTCGCTTCTTAGAAGATAATTGTCTTACTATTTCTTTTAAAGTATCTCCAGAGCAAAGCATGGTATTCTTTAATTAATGTTCATAGGGTAATTTAAATATTTAAAGATAAGCTTTCATAAAAGTATAAGATTGTATAATAACGGTCAGACTGAATTACAGAATTATGCTTTGAGTTATATTTTCGCTGGTTTCCTCCTGCCCTCTGCTAACACAGACTGGTGAGTTTATGGGTCAGGCTCTTAACTGCACGTGAATTCAAGAGAGGAGAGCAAATGAACAAATTACTCCCTCAGTGGATGCGCTTAACCATGTGAGCTAATTTCCTATTTCTTGTCCTCCAGAGCAGCATTTACAGTACCAAGTGGGATAATTCTTCAGAATTACTTCCCACTGGTCTAGAGAAGTCCTTGTGGGTATGGGGTAGGGCGTCTGCAGGCTTCCTGTCAGTTCCAACAGGTTTAAATTGCCAAAGTTTAAAGTTGGCATTGAAGTTACTGTCTGATCAAGTCACCTCTGGAAACTCTGGACATTGTAAAAGGGAATAAAAGCCTCAGTGGTGTTTCCCACCTGGAACGGGAGGTGATACTTTGTGAACATGAAGAGGTATTAATGGCCACTTGCCCTTTAAACCACAGAGGGACATCTGAGCAGAGTGACCTTCCCAGCCCAACTTGAGAGAAGGCAGGAAATGAAGTCTGAGGCTGGAGGTTCAGATGATAAAATGTCCCTCAGGAAGATAACAAAATGCTTCATCTTGTGGTAGCTCGAGACACATCTTAGAACCGAAGGAAATGGTCTCCCCTTTAAAGGCTGCTTGGTGAAAATAACAAGTCGGGATCTTTCCCTGCTGTTTATCTCTATGCCTGGATCCTGAGGTGTTTTCTCTCACGGATGCCAAAGTTTAGCCAAAAGTGGATAAATTATACTTCTTTTGATAGTCCTAAAATATAAACCAGTGTCTCAAACTCCTTCTAGATTCACAAAGTGTTTTGATAATTTTTTTTTATGTTACAAAGAATGGAACTTTAATAATCTTAGGAAATACATTACCCACAGGAACCCACCACTCTGATCTCACATATTTCCCCATGATGTGGCTGGACACTGAGAGTCTAAACAACTGGTGTATCTGAAAGCCTTGGAATACTAAGCCTCATCTACATCAGAAGCTGAGCCTCCAAACACCTGGATTCGTTGTACAGTGTGTTCAAAATGACATCAGTTTATTTATGCAGATTGTAGGATACCCAGAATAAAATGTAGTCATACCTGAAACATTCCACTTCTCTTTCCACCATAAATTAGATTTTCAAATACTTTTAATGGATACTAGGGTCTCGCATTAATTACCTCTGCACTCCCAACTGATTTTCCCATGTTGGGAGCCGAGGTGGGAATGAGGGCACAAGGAGAGTTTATGGAAATGCTAAGGCCTGGGCTATGTGGAGTGTGGGGTCAGTGATAGCACAGATGCAGAACACCTTGAGAGGTGTGCAGCCTCAGCTGAACCGGAAGGTGGTCTCTCATCAGAATGAGGCTAGGGAAAAGAGGCAATGGCTACAGCTACTGAAAATTGACCCCTGCCCCTTTTAGACACAAATCCAGAACCAGGCAGGACCTGTCACTCATTCAACTTTCACTGCCTTAAGAGTCCTGAATATCGGCAAGATGCTTCCTCCCATTTAAAGGTCCTACAAAGGGCCATTCTAGTTTTTTGTCACTCAGCTGAACGTGATAATATATTTTAGTGACCCTCACAGTAACCATATAATATAGAGACGATTCTCCCTCACATAGCAAGAAAGCTGAACTGCCCAAGGTTACTTGCAATTTTTAAAGATATGTCTCTTTGTTTTTGTTTTTTTTTTTTGCTATAAATCTTACCTTCTTAATCATTGCAAGGTATTCCTTCCTGTAACTCATGGAAAATACCAGGATACATGAGACTCCTACAGTTGAACTGTAATCCAGTTTGCTGGCTTTGTGTGTACAGAAAAAATAATAATGCCGCAAGAATATAGTGACCATGATGAATGCCAGTCCTGACGCTGAGGAATAGTTGTGGCCTAAGAGGCTCTTTCATCTTCAGTTGTGTTTATGTCATTTATTTTTCTTCTAATTATGTGACATTCCTCCCAGTGGTGGAATGGACCCTACAGGACGTCTTCCTGTCTCCTATCCTGGCTCGTCTGGACTGGATATGAGTCAGTCTGCTGATCTTTGGTTTATCGTTAATCTTCTTAAGGAAAACCTGTATGATTAATATTTAAAGCACCCTAGGGATTGCTTCCTGTTTTTCTTAAGCTGTCTACCCCTTTACCATTTTCTCAAAGATGATTTGTTGGGCATGAGGATTTGCATTGTTTCTGATCCTCTGAGAAAAACAAATAGAGTAGTGTTTTTCAAATTGCTCTCCTCTGAAACCTTGGGAGAGGGCTGGGTGTAACTCACTGTGCTCTTGAATATTATTTCAGTTACAGAAAAAAAAATACACTGTGTTTATTTGAAAAGTATTCAAATTTCCCAAGTACTATTACTTCACCTTCATGCAGGATATGATTTGCAGTTTCTACTTTCCTTAAGTAATATATTAGAGAATAAAAAACTAAGATGTACAATTGAATGTATAAGTTGTGGCACACACTTGAACACACCTGAACTCTGAATCTTAGCTATATTACTCGTGTCTTCATTAGGGGGTACTAAGAGAATGCAATATGATAATTTCTATAATTTGGATGTGATATTATTAAAACAAAATACTAAACCCCCTCTTAGCTGAAAAAGACAGATACTCTCTTTATGCGATAGATGACACTAATTTTATCAATTTACTATTAAAAGGTAACAAAATAGTAAAATTGTACATTGAGATTTTCTACTGCATAGAACCAGCATACTCAAAAATCTTGTACAAGAAGTGAAGCAAACATACCTGAGGCCACCACATGTCATCCGTGAGCAACAGGTGATTCAGGAATGCAGGAAATAGGCAATGACCTGAGAAGAGTCAATGGTGAGTATGTTATGCCCGATCATCGTCTGCTAGAGAGAAGACATTGAAATAAAACACAAGGGGAAATGATCAAGCATATCAATCAGATGCAAAGAGGAAAAACTGGTTAGATGGGCCTAGAATCTTCATTATTTGATAACTTGATAAGAAAGGATGGTTTATTAAATAACAAAAGTTCCTACACTGGTCCTCAATGTACATGATGGTAATTTTTCACTAAGGAAGATGCATAAAGAAACAGCAAGGTTTGATTGTTCACGAAACCCCTAAACACTCCCTTTATCATTCAGTACTAACACTTTACACCAAAGTTTCTTTGTTTGAACAATAGGTGATTTCAGTCTTCTAATTTGGATCTTTGCTAATGCTTCATGGTTAAATGGGTATAAACTAAAGTCAACTAAATGAAATAATATAAAAACAAAACATAACATAAAATTATAAATATATAAACAAAATAAAGTTAAGAAAATAACTTTGTATTCATTTAAATATATTAAAATTTTCAGCTTATTAGCTCAAGAAGAAATAAAAGAGAACTATTCTAAGTTAGATAGGAAAACTTTCCAAATGTAAGAAAACATAATTGTTTCAGAAATATATAAGTAGATAGGTTGTCATCATTCATAAAATTACAATATTATTTTGTCACTAAACTAATTCATTTGACCTAAAATCTTAAAACACTAAACAAAATAGCAAACATAACTATGGCAATAAATGTAGATAAGGTATTGGTCAAAGTTCAATAGACTGAAATATTAAGGGATTACCTTTACATGATGAAGGTACATGGTTTTATTTATAATAAGTCATAGACATTGTCACATACCTTAAAATTTTCAAAAATCATACTTAACATCAGCTGGAAGTAAAGGAAGACATTTACTTTAGCATTATTATGGGCTGTTTGCATAGGCAGAAGAACAAGAGGAAGAAAATATCCAAAGAAAATTAAGATGGAAAAGACAGAGGATGATTTTCTCACTATTTGTGATTATTACATTAGCTACAAATAAACCTGAAAACAAATGTCATAGAAAATACAAGAATCTTAAATCAATGTTGAATTAAACAACGGAATTTAGCAAATGGATAGAAATAATTCCAAATGTGTCGATAGAGTATTAATTTTGCTGGAATCTAAACCCCACAGGTTTCAGTAGCTCCAAATTGAGGTACCTAGATATATAAATATGTATAGCTCACACAGTTATGTGACATTATCCAAAGCTGCTAAAGAAATTATAAATATATAGAAGCTACCATACTGATGCATCAAATGTCTCAACATTCATAATGATGTCAATTCTCCCAAAATAATCTATAAATTTAATGTAATTCAAATTAAAATGCCAACATGTTTATATAGCAGTTGACAGTCTACTTTAAAACTTGGTTTGAAATGCAAAAATGTCAGGGATAGTGAAATATTCTCAAGGGAAGAAATAAGGTAAGGTAGACTTGTTCAAATATTTCTCAAGACTTATGGTTTAGTTGTGCTAATAATGATGTTAATAGAAGGCTAGAAAAGTTGAACAATTAGAGGAAAGTGGGTGAACAACATTAGCTGTGACACAAGAAAGTAGGGGGAAAACTATTAAATGAATTGTTCTAAGACAGGGATTAAAAGACAATTTATCCCTCCTAAGCAAGAAAAGTGTCTTAGTTTCACTAATTTTAAGTAAAACTAAATAAAATTTTAAAAGTTTTAAAGAATAGAAAACTAATTATATCATGGTTTAGTATATCCTCCTCACCCCCCCCCCAAAAGAGTTAAGGAAAATATAGTAATTTTAATCAACTAAATAGTTTAAATTTTTTATAAAAATATAGAACAAGACACAAAATTTCAAATATTTATAAAACATAATACAACTAATAAGGTTTCTGCAGTCTTACTATAGGGTAAATTTTGAAAACTTTACTTTTTCATCTTTATTGTTCATGGGGATGGTGGGGAAAGCATATGTGTCCTTGTGCATATGTGGAGATCAGAACACACAACTGTGGGGTCAGTCACAGCTTATACATAGGTTCTGCATGCAAACTCATGTCCTCACCCTTGCAAGCAAATATTTTCATTCTCAGAGTCGTCTTGCCAGCCCTGCAGCCCAGATTTTAGTGTTTCGTTCTCTATGCCTATCAAAAGTTATTATTTATTTTCAAATAGCTTAGTTTTTTTTTTATGAGAAGGAGGCATCATTTAAAATGATGAGATGTTTTAGACAAGATGAATACTCAGGAGACCCTTTGTCAAAAGGCTAGAAACTGATGCCAACAGAAATCAAAGCTGAAAGTAGATAATGGCATTAGCTACCATAAGAGCCGTTCATGAAAAACGCATCAAACTGTCGATGATCAGCTGCGACAAAAATACCTCTTGCCAGGGTAGAGGCTTGGGGATTTAGAAAATATTAATAAAGAATATGAAGACAAATAAGAAAATAATAAAATGGAGAAACATTATACGGTAGTATTGGGAGGGAGTTTCAGTGAGTACTGAAAATTCGCCCACATTTAATTTCCAATTGCTTTATATATCCCTGACCCCAAAAGGTAGACACAAGATAAAAAACTACATTAACAGGATACAAGGAAATGAACATACCAATTGAAGTTCAAGGGCTACCTCCAGAGTTAAACATTCTGCTGCTAGAACCGCGCACATCCTACACCAAAACATTCTGTAGGCAAACCACTTCCTTGGTGAAATTCAAAGTTATCTCCATAAAGTAACTTGACCTTTAGTTGGATCCTTAAACTTTTGTTTGAGGTAGGAACATACCTACTTCTCTGTTCATGAAGTACATGGTCTGGCTATTAGCCACACCTGTTGACAATAACCTTGAAAGAGCAGAAATCTCAGGCCTTCAGTCTATGTGGAAATAGGCTCACATTTTCAGGGCCTCCACATCAAACAGGGTTTACAGAAAGAGGAGTAAAGAGGAGCAAGAAAGGAGGAAAGGGATAGAAAGGTCTGGCCAAACTAAAGAGCATTTAGTGATACACAGACAGGAGTAGAAACATCAGTAAGTAGAAAGTTACCACCTCTAGTTCTAAGAGGATAAAGGAAGTGAACCTTTAAAGTAAACCAGAGAGGGGGTACATCAATGGTTTCCATACAGACACACACACACACACACACACACACACACACTCAGACACACACAGGCACAAACACAGACACACACACACACATACACTCACACAAACGACCTCACACACACAAGGACA